GAGTGTTCTATAAATTCTAGAGATAAGTCCCTTGTCAGATATGTTATTACCAAATATTTTTTCCCAATCTGTAGGTTCTCTTTTGCATAGTCCAGTTTCTTGGATTATTTGCTCAGCATACATGTTGAATAAATATAGTGAAAGGATACAGCCCTGGTGCACACCTTTCCTGATTAAAAGCGTGCAGTATCTCCTTGTGCTCTTTGAAGGGAACTGCTTCTTGGTCTATGTGCAGGTTCCTAATGAATACAATTAAATGTTCTGGAATTCCTGTTCTTTGCAATGTTATCCATAATTTGTTATGATCCACACTTTCCAGTGCCTCTGTGCAGTCACTAAAACACAGGTAAACACCTTTCTGGGATTCTCTGCTTTCAGTCCAGATCGATATGACATCAGCGACGGTATCCTTCATTTCACGCCCTCTCCTGAATCCAACTGGAATTTCTGGCAGTTCCCTGTTGATGTAGTGCAGCGACCGATTTTTAAATATTTTCAGCAAAGTTTTACTTGTGTGTGATATCAGTGATATTGTTCAGTAATTTGCACGTTCTTTTGGATCACGTTTCTTTGGAATAAGCACAATATGGGTGGGTATCTTCCAGTTGGTTGACCAGGTAGCTGTCTTCCAAATTCGTCGGCACAGGTGAATGAGTACTTCCAGTGTTCTATTTGTTTGTTGAAACATCTTGGTTGGTATTCCATCAATTCCTGGAACCCTGTTTTTTGCCTTCCGTGCGGTTTGGACATCTTCCTTCAATACCATTGGTTCTTTCTTGATCATATGCTACCTCCTGAAATGAACCGCTGACCTTCTGCTTAGCAGGCAAATGCCTTACCTACTATGCCATCAGAGCTCCTTTCGATAGGCTTCTTAGGACATTGTACTAGTAAACTGACCATCTTTTCACATGCTTATTGACCATGTTTATGTTTTACATGAATGGCATATTCTTTGCCAGATTTTTTGTGGGTTTGATACTTTTCTTATTAAAATGTAAGAACTCTTTATATATTAAGACACTTACTATTATTTGGAAAGTTGCTGTGTCATTTTATTTTTTTGGTAATCATATATATCAGGTTTTTTTTTTTTTTAATGATTTCTGACATTCAGGTCCTGGTTAAAGAGGTCTCTCACCACTAACTATAAGCCCCAGGTTAAATAGTGTTCACCCATATTTTCTTCTTAATATTATATTGAAAAGAATAAAACCCAACTAGAATTTATTTTGGGAGCTCTGGTAGTGTAGTGCCTAAGGCACTTAACTGCTAACCAGAAGGCTGGCGGTTCAAACCCACCAGCCACTCCTCAGAAGGAAGATGGGGCAATCTACTTCCGTAGTGATACTGCCTCGGAACCCAAGGGAGCGATCACTATGAGTAGGGTCCAACTCAACAGCACATAACAACAACAACAACAGAATTTATTTTGTTATGAAGGTGATTCTGGGCTTCTGCATTCAACACAGATACTATTACCTCCATGGTTTAATTGAACAGTTAAAATATTTTACCTTAAGGTTTTGCTATACTACGTATACTTTTATAAGTCTGGTTATTTTTTTAAAAAATCATCAGGCCCACTGACCCCATGCTGGCAATCTCTGCTCTGAGTTTATCAGAAATTAGGCAAAGAGAAAACACTTATCATCTCATAGCATAGCATAAATTTCTAAATTCTCTCTAAAGTCCCAAAACCAAGTACAATAGGAATTATTTGTTTTTGCACTAGGCATAAAATAAGCCAGATCAGTATTGTTTTTATGGCTCCGATATAATTATTTCTGTTATGAAAATCTGTGACATGCTTTGCTTTATTGGTATCCCTTGCAGTTGTAAGGACTGGGCAGAAGCTCTTTCATGAAGAAAAGCCCAGGCCCAAAAGCTTGGAATGCTGTGTCTGGGTGAGTTAGCAAGCCAGTGAGAGAGCAAATGGTGACAGAAGGCTACACTGTAAGTGCCTGTGCCTCTCACCACAGACCACAGACCATGTGATGCTGTCTTGTTCCAGGGCAAGAGAGAAAGGCTGGCTTCATATGTCGGTAGTCATTGAGATTAAGGACACCATTTTTTGGAGAGACAGATAGACAGGAATCATTAGTACTCTTGAGGTAGGGAAAGTGAAATGTTGAATACATTACCTTGAATTCATGTTTAACATTGACATGTGAAGACAATCAGTTTGCATTGGTGTATGGTGAGAGATTATTCCTAAAGGCAGAAGGAGCATTTGATATGAATCTGGCCTACCAGGCTGTTGAAAACTGTGCTCTTTTAGTATGGTAAATGCAGTGACCACATGCTAGTTCACTAGCAAGGCCAAATCTCCTACCTTTTCATGCTTTTCTTGCAGTGGATGATAGCACTGGAGTTATAAACTGCATCTGCTGGAAAAAGAGCAGTATGAAGTCTTCATCAGGTAAGTAATTTTATTTGCTAGGATTCTTGACTTCTTAGCTCTCAGGGAATATTACTCAAGTTAGCTCATCAGAAGAGCTGTAGGGCTAAAATGTTCACATTTGCCCACATGTAATGTAATTCATTACATTTGTCCAGTGTAATGAATTACATTGATCTTCTTGAAGCATTGGACCCAGAGCTATGGCTACTCAGAAAACTGACTCCGTGATGGAAGAGCTACTTGTTTTTTTCTTCCATCTCTTTGGAGCTCATTTCTTTCTAAGCCTATGGGAATGTAAATAGCATGCCGGGAGGTTGCAGTCATTCATTTTCACCATGTCAGTTATTACGTAAGTCAATATATTTTAAGCTAATTGCCAGTCAGGTCAGAATCCCCTTCCTCTTAGCATAGCAAAGATGATTTTGAGGACTTCTGCATGGTTGCCACTAATGTATATGCTGGCGTAAACCAGGCTTTCTGCAATCTCTAATATGTTCAAACAAATATATCAGGAATTCTAAGCTCGATGAGAAAGTAAAATAGTTTTCCTTTGAAAGTTAGCCATTAGGTAATAAAAACTGAGCATTGACTATAACTGAAAAGGCATTTTGTATCACTTGACTACATATTAATAGTTCTTAGATTCCTTTTTAAGAAGCCCTGGTGGCACAAGCATGGTTCAAACCACCAGACGCTCTGTGGAAGGAAGGTGGGGCGGTCTACTTCCTTAAAGCTGTACCACCTTGGAAACCCAATGGGGTCGCTGTGAATCGGAATCACCTCAGTGGCACTGAGTTTGGGTTTTTTGGTTACTGGCCCAAACGGAAGTGCTCAGCTGCTAACCAGAAAGTTGGCAGTTTGTGTTCACCATGAGTTCTGTGGGAGAAAGACCTGGAGTTCTGCTTCCATAGAGGTTACAGCCAAGAAGGGAGAGCCCTACCATGTCACATGGGGTCACTGTGAGTCAGAATTGACTTGACTACACCCAAAACAGTTCCTATTTAAGTTGCCTACGGTCATAGTATTAAAGAAAATATCATGTAATATTGGCTGTAGAGAAGCTACAGAAACTGAGACCTTCTTTGTTTCTGTTCTCAAATGTGTATAGTATGGTATCATACATGCTGGGATCATTCAATAAATGTAGCTCATGCTAGTACCTAATATCTAGTATCTATCTTCTTGTGTTGTACATGGTGACAGTGTCTAACACTTGGAGTAGTGTCTTTATTCCTTTTTGCCACTGCAGAAGGAAATGTCAAAATGGCAGTTTCCTGTTTTGACTACTGACTGATGTAATGTTGGTTTGTTTAATATTCCCACATATTTACATTTAGAATTTGGCCATAGTTTCACATAACTTTGATTTTTCTGTTTTCTAATTTGAGAACATTTAAATCAATGGCACTCATTTGCCTGGGAAGCTTTGTAATTAAACAAAATTAAGAGGACATCAAGTTTTGTGCAAAAGTCTCATCAAAATCAAAACCAAACCCATTGCTATTGAGTCGATTTTGACTCATAGTGATCCTATAGGACAGAGTAGAACTGCCCCATAGAGTTTCCAAGGCTGTAAATCTTCATGGAACTAGATTGCCTCATTTTTTCTCCCATGGAGCAGCTGGTAGGTTTGAACTGCTGACTTTTTGGTTAGCAGCTGAATGCCTTAACCACTGCACCCCCAGAGCTCCTTCAAAATATCTCATAGGTAAGATATAAACCTATTAGATAATCAGAGATAGGAATTTTCATCTGTGTATCCAAAACTCAAAAAACCAAACTCACTGCCGTCAAGTCGGATCCCACTCATAGTGACCCCTCCTTAGGTTTCTGACACAGTATCACTACAGAAGTAGATTGTCCAATCTTCTTTCCGAGGAGTGGCTGGTGGGTTTGAACCACCAGCCTTTTGGTTAGCAGTCAAATGCCTTAGGCACTATGCTACCAGAACATCTGTGCATAGGGTATTAAAATAATTTGCAGATTTATGGTTGTTATATCGTTAAAATCTTTAATCAGAAGGTATAGTTTGGGGAATGATCAATAAACTTTTCTTATGTAAAAGGACAGATAGTAAATATTTTCAGTTTTTTGGGCTGTGAGTTCTGGTGGCATAGTGCCTAAGGTATGCTGATTTATGCTAATTGTATCCAGATCCTTAGGTATTGGTTTCTGGATACACAGAGTTCTATAGGCTTCATAAGGTACTGTTTCCCTTGGTATAGTAGACGGGTTTAGATTAATGCCTCTGTTAACAACAACAACAACAGTACAAAGTCATGGTTATCAAAACTATAGGCGCTTTGGTGGCACTCCTCAGAAGGAAGTTTGGACAATCTACTTCCATAGTGATATCATCTCGGAAACCCAAGGAGGGGGTCGCTGTGAGTCGGGTCCAACTGCAAGACTCCACACGGTGTGTTTGGTTTGGTTTGGTTAGTCTTTATCTCAACTATTCAGCTGTGCCATTGAAGCACAAAAGCAGCCACAGACAATACGTAAACAAATGAGCATGACTTTGTTCCGATAAAACTTTATTTACCTTGTACCCGAAGAAATAGATAGATGGTGCTTGGCTACCACTACCAACTGTTCTGATCAGGGCCATGATAGATGGACACTGATAGACTGGGAGAAAAATGTGAAACAGACCTCAAATCATTAAGTCCAGACTTATTGGACCAGTTGAGACTAGAGAACTCCCTAAGACTAGTGCCCTGAGATGTTCTTTAAACATTAAACAGACACTATCCCCTGAGATCACCTTTTAGCAAAGTAACATATTGGTATACAAATAATGGATATTATCTGTGAATACCAAATAACACCAAACTCACTGCCATCAAGTCTGATGGCAACCTCTCCTTGGGTTTCTAAGGCAATATCACTACTGAAGCAGATTGCCCAACCTTCCTTTTGAGGAGTGGCTGGTGGGTTTGAACCGCCAGCCTTCTGGTTAGCAGTCAAATGCCTTAGGCACTATGCCACCGGAGCTCCGTGAGTACAGTGTTCCATTAACAAACCTTTCTGAGATGTGGTGCAGTGAGTAACTTGGTAAGGCTTTTCTAGCCATAGTCTTTGTAACTCCCGCCTGATTACTGGGTGGGACCATGCAAAGAACTCTGATGTTCAGAATGGTTAGTTTTGTCACTCTGCCAGACTTAAAACGAGCCTTCCTAGAGGCAGAAAGGGGGGAATCTCACTGCCATCAAGAGAGAAGAGCTAGAGGTGAAGTGGAGTGTGTCCTCGGACCTGAGATCCCGGCGCTGGACCTGGTTAGTTGAGAGACAGATGTCTGGCTGAGAGACAGTGGAGCTAAGAGGCAGGAGACGGAGCTGCAGGCTTTCCAGCCAAAGAAGCGAGAAAGATGTGTGCCCTTGGGCAGGAGTCTTGCTGGTGGAGTGGGGTTCAAGTAGGTGTACCTGTCAGCAGAGCTAAAAAAGCTTTGTAACACTTGCCCAAGCAGAGCAGAGGCCAGGCTGAGAGACCAAGGGCCAGAGAAGCAAGCCTGAGGACATGGCAGAGGGGAGACTGTCCTGATAGAAGAATTGTATTCTGAGTGTGTTCCTGAACCTGAACTGTAACCTCTTACTTCCCTGTAAACCCCATAATCGTGAGTGTTGTCGGTGAGTTCTGTGTGGCCATTGCAATGAATTATTGAACCCAGCAGAGAAGTGTATTGAGTGCCATGGGGAGGAAGGCTGGGGTCAGGGTTAGTAAAAAGGTTGGAGGGTGGCACTATGTCTGGCATCATAAGAATAAGCCTTGGGCTATTGATGGTGACTCTGTTTCTTCCTCCTGAGATCATGAGATCAGAGATCAAAAGATGCCACTTCCATGCCCTTTTAGCAGTTGGTCTCAGAAGCAGGGTTTGTTGCAATGGCTCCAGACTCATGGAAGTATGGAACTTTGTAAGAGAAAGAGAATGGGAAGATAATCAAGGTGAAGAGATGAAACTGGAATGTTTTAAAAAGAATTATGTGGTTTGGATTGTGTTTATCTGAATGTACTATGGATGTACTAAGTAAGAGAACTCTTACGTAGCTGTATGTTAGAAATGATTATTGGTTGTGAATAACAGAGAGCCTGTGAGTCAGCCTTCAGCCAATATTTGATTGGATATGTTAAAAGGGGAAATAGAATTTGCCCAGGAGAAACATAGGCCTTTGTTTCAAGCCCTAAGTGTGGAGTTTAGGAGGTTTAGGTAGAAACCTTGAGCCCCACCCAGAACCTTCTGATTCAGGAAATTTGCATTTGAAAAGACGTGGAAACCCACCCAGATCTCTTAGGAGAGCAGAAGATTTGTGTTTGAGGGAAGGACCTGCAGAGAAAGATGTGATTGGCTTTTTAAATTTCAAGGTTTGGCTTTGAGTGCATCCAGGCAGGAAAGTCAGGGTCCAGGAGAGAAACCCCTTCCAGGGCTGGAAGTTAAAGGGACCTGGCGAGTAGTAGGCTTGCATGCTGCTTGTTTGTGACCACCTCGGTCTACTTGATGAGTGGAAGTGGGGGAATTGCAGCAATGAAGAAATGGGCTGAGTGTAGTATTCTTTGACGTGGCCCATGAGAGGAATGGCTGGCTGGTCTGAAGTAAAAGTTGTGTGGACTCCTGAGCCTATGAGTGTTGAACTAGCCCTTGAGTGCTAGAGATGAGAGAGAGAAAGTGCTGGCTGGTCTGAAGTGAAGGGAGGAGTGTGGCTTCTAAACTTGCAGCTGGTACCCATGACCTAGCTGGGATGACTGTTGTTGTTGTTATTTGCCGTCGAGTCCCGACTCATAGCGACCCCTCCTTGGGTTTCCGAGGCAGTATCACTACGGAAGTAGGATTGCCCAACCTTCCTTCCGAGGAGTGGCTGGTGGGTTTGAACCGCCAGCTTTCTGGTAGCAGTCAAGCTAGCTGGGATGACTAGGGCTGAGCTAACCAGAACCCGACCAAATGAAGAGGAAATGTTTGACACTGAGGTGTTAAATTACTGCAATTTGAAGGCTTGCTCTGGACTGGA